GAGCAATGCATGGTGTGCATGTGAGACGGGTGAGACGGGTGTTAGCATGGTTCGCCGCTGCCCTACCGACCTAACCCTAATCCTAAAGTGAGTGCGACGATGCTAAGGGCGGTGTGCAAACCGTCCATCTATTTCCAAGGAAATACATTCCGCTCCGCGGTCCGCGGTTACCGAAATGCGATTCCTCGGTCGCCAGAATTCCGCGGTTGCACAGTGCAACAGCCACGTTACGCGAACCGCACAATCTTTCTCCGTGCTTGGTTCTGGTTCCATCATCCCTCGCCTTTCAGCGCAAATGCTCCCTGGAAATTGCTGAAACCTTCTGTCACCTAAGTTTCTCCAACGTCAGCCGGAGGCGCTTGCGAACCTATAATGGGCGACTTGCTGCAGAGACAGGAGCACCTGCAAGCCACTCACTGTGAACCGCTCAGTCTAGTCAGCATGGTTCAACGTCTAGTCAGCATGACTTACAGTCTAGTGAGCTTGGAGAGCGCGCCAATGGAGGAGGGCAGGGGGCCGCTGATGGCGTTGTGGTGCAGGTCGCTGGGGACACGTGGGCAGGGGGACGGGGGAGAGGAGAGGCGGCGGAGAGAGAAAGAGGGGAAGGGGGGAGGGGGGGGCGGGGTGCATGCATGGCAGCAGGGGGAGGGATTAGGGCGAAGGGCGGAGGAGGTGGAGGAAGGTTGGGAAGAGAAGAGATGGAGTGAATGGAGTTGCGGAGTGGGCACGGGGCATGGGGCATGGGGCATGGGGCATGGGGCATGGGGCATGGGCATGGGGCATGGGGCATGGGGCACGGGGCATGGGGAACGGGGCACTGGCATGGGGCATGGGGCATGGGGAATGGGGCATGGGGCATGGGGCATGGGGCATGGGGCATGGGGCACGGGCATGGGGCATGGGGCACGGGGCACGGGGAACGGGGCACTGGCATGGGGCATGGGGCATGGGGCACGGGGCACGGGGCACGGGGCACGGGGCATGGGGCATGGGGCATGGGGCTTGGGGCATGGGGCACGGGGCATGGGGCACTGGCATAGGGCATGGGGCATGGGGCATGGGGCATGGGGCATGGGGCATGGGGCATGGAGCATGGGGCATGGGGCATGGGGCATGGGGCTTGGGGCATGGGGCTTGGGGCATGGGGCACGGGGCATGGGGCACTGGCATAGGGCATGGGGCATGGGGCATGGAGCATGGGGCATGGGGCTTGGGGCATGGCATGGGGCATGGGGCATGGGGCATGGAGCATGGGGCATGGGGCTTGGGGCATGGGGCATGGGGCATGGGGCATGGAGCACGGGGCACGGGGCATGGGGCACTGGCATGGGGCATGGGGCATGGGGCATGGGGCATGGGGCATGGGGCATGGGGCATGGGGCACGGCAAGTGGTGGAGGGGCATGGAGCGTGCATGCGTGAGGCGCGGGGCGCACAGGTGGTGCAGCGCGGTCATGTTGGCCACGGCGCCCGGCAGCCACCCGTTCATGCCGTTGTTCGACGCGTCGCTGGGGGGCCAGGGGGGCGGGGCGGGCACGCGGCAGGGGAGAGAGGGGGGGAGGAGAGGGCAAAGGGATGGTGTAGAGGGGAAGACGTGAGAAGGGAAAGGTGGAGGCGCAACGAGGAGCAGGTAGAGGAGTGGGGAGGGTGTAGAGGTAGTGCGGAGAACGTGACAGTGGAGGGAGAGTGGGATGCGATGTGAAGGATGCGGGATGGACGCGGTTGAGAAAGGCGAAGGCGGGGAGGGCATGGCGCGGTGGCTAGAGTGGCCCAGGTCACCAGGCCAGGTATGAAATGGGAGGAAGGTGAGACCGACAGGCGGGTGAGGGGGACTGACAGGCGGGTGAGGGGGACTGACAGGTAGGTGAGGGCGGGCAGCATGGCTATCTCGGCGACGAGGCTGCCTTGCAGGTGGTTGCCCCTCACGTCCCTGCGGGGCCAGACGGAGGCAAGCAGGCGAGAGTGGTGGGAGCGGAGGGGCGGAGAGACGGCATTACGACCTTTCCCCGAGCCCCGCGGCCCCATGGCGTATGGACTATGGCACGGCAGGCAGCGCAGAGGGCATCATGGCTACGGCCTATTGAAGGCCCGCCGCACACCCCACAACGACAACGCCCCAGAACCGCTGAAGCCAAGGCGCTTTCCCAGTTCGTGTACTACTATCGGAGCAGCTGTACTACAGCCGTCTGCCCTTGACTCTCAGCTGTGCTACAGCCGTATGCCCTTGACTCTCAGCTGTGCTACAGCCGTCTGCCCTTGACTCTCAGCTGTGCTACAGCCGTCTGCCCTTGACTCTCAGCTGTGCTACAGCCGTCTGCCCTTGAATCTCAGCTGTGCTACAGCCGTCTGCCCTTGAATCTCAGCTGTGCTACAGCCGTCTGCCCTTGAATCTCAGCTGTGCTACAGCCGTCTGCCCTTGACTCTCAGCTGTGCTACAGGCGTCTGCCCTTGAATCTCAGCTGTGCTACAGCCGTCTGCCCTTGACTCTCAGCTGTGCTACAGCCGTCTGCCCTTGACTCTCAGCTGTCCTACAGCCGTCTGCCCTTGAATCTCAGCTGTGCTACAGGCGTCCCGCCTCAAATCTCAGCTGTGCTACAGGCGTCCCGCCTTAATCTCAGCTGTGCTACAGGCGTCCCGCCTTAAATCTCAGGTGTGCTACAGCCTACAGGCGTCCCGTGGCACGGCGACTGACAGGTGCTGCAGCGCGGTGAGGTGGGAGATGCCCGGGGGAATGCTGCCCCTCAGCTCGTTGCCGCTCAGCGACCTGCGCGCCAGCGCCGGGTGAGGGGGGAGTGGGACGAGGGGTGCAAGGGACGGCAGACGGGAGGGCGGGGTTCGGTGTCAGGGCAGGCGGTCCAGGTGTGGGCGAGGCGCAGGGGTTGGAAGCTGCATTGACGGCGCCACAGACGGAGAGGGTCAACGAGCCTTGTGATTGGGGCTTATATCGCGTACAATTTGACGATTTCGTTGCGGTCGTCGCAGTGCGCGCCCATCCAGTACGCCTCCCCTCACGTCCAAGACCCATCACTCCAATTCTTTAGACAAGGAAAGAGTAGCTTATATGGCGTACAGTTTGACGACTTCGTTACGGTCGTTGCAATGCACGCCCATCCAGTAGGGCCACCCCACGTCCGAGTCCCACGACTCCAGCTCCGCGCCGTCGGGGTCCATCGCCACGCGCAGCTCCGCCAGCGCCAGCCCTGCCGCACACACACACACACACACACACACACACACACACACACACACACACACACACACACACACACACACACACACACACACACACAGACGCACAGACGCACAGACGCACAGGCACGTCACGGCCAGTCGCACGCCCACGCGCACTCTGCAACGCGCATCAGGCCGCATTGGGACGAGCTGCGGGCCCACTGGACTGGGATGCTCGGCTCACTTGACCAGATGTGCTGCTGAAACCGGCGCGAGCACGGAAAGCGGCGCACTAGGATTTACCGCGGCTCAGGTCCAAAGCAGTCATGCTGAGGGCTCGAGCATGCACGCCGCAACAGCAGCAGCGCAACTCACGCTGGTCGTATGTCGGCGGAAACTCCGGGCCGTACTCGCTCGCCGAGGGGTTCCCCGTGGAGCCGCGCGGTGCGGAAGGGCCGCGTGGCGAAGGCGGCGCTGTTGGCGGCGGAAGCGACGGCGCGACGACAGCCGCGTCTAGTGCATTCCGCCAATTGCTGTCGCCGGCTGTGGCGGCTGTAGCGGCTGAGACGAACTCCACGCGACGGATGACGGCGGCTGGCCCCGCCGCGACGTGCGCCGTGAGCACGAGGAGGATGCATGCCGCCCCGAGTGACTGTAACGAGAGTTCACGGAGGGTAGACATTCTGAACAGTAACGAACGCTTTTTCTGGTAGCAGCAGACCCCGCAGACAGTCGGCGACTGCTGAAAGGTGCGAGCGCGAGGTGCGATCGCCGCTGGGCTTCCCGTCAATGGCGCTCTGCGCGAAGCAACGCGGCCGCTGACGACGAGTTACTGCTGCGGGCTGTGGTGGCGGGGCGTTATACTAGAGGAGGCAAGTGCGGGGTAGGTCATCCCCGAGAGCAAACAAGGGTGTACGACGAGCCACGCCCGCACAAGGTGCAGTGCTCGGACTCCGGAGAGAGTCTGGCCGCAATACTGCAGCTTGAAACTCCGACCAAGCAGCTCAATAAGATGCACCGCCGCGCTGTGCCTGCGTGCACCAAGCAGGCGAGCAGCTATCCCATGCGACGATGGGCGGTGCCACACGTACGAGCTTCGGGTAGGCGATCCACTCCATGCCCCAGGGGGCTTATGGCAGGTAGGTGAGAAGCAGCACACCACATATCCGGCGAGATTGGACTAGGCTAACTGAGGGAGGGGAGGGCTCGTTGAGAGCGGGTTCAGAATTGTTGTTTCACGTCGATATGTTTCCAATACTTACCATGCTTCAACTTTCACTTACTACAGAACCATTATATTATAATAAAACGTATCAATAAATGTGGTTTAAAATAAATGCAGTTACATATGCAAATTTTCATAATAACATCATGAAAATAATATTAAATTACAACATCTGTGCACATATGGGAAGTCATTTTTATAAGGTGTTTGAAGTTCTATCAGAATGACAATCTCAATGCTCAGATATTTGAAACATTCTTGGTATTGATGGTTTTTGTAGCGCACGAATGCGAGACTATGGAATGCTGGCACGAACACTGGCAAGTTGTAAAAATGGTTTGAGAATGCGCCCTACCGTGGTTAGGCTGAAAGCAGCGGGAGAGGGGATGTACTGCGAGTGCCTCAGACTGGGCTTCAGGCTCTGTCGCTCCGATCGAGGCGCGAATGGGAGCCACAAATGTCTGCGTGGTCGACTTTATGGTGAAATTCAGATGCTGGATTGCGCTGATGTGCCTCGCCGCGACGCGGTGTTGTGGTGGTTATCACCATGTGGACGGAAATGGATCAAGCAGCCTGTGAGTCTGTGACACGTCACCAACACACTCGCCTAAATCAAAATGTTCACTGAAAGATACAAGTTGTAACAAAGTGTTCCATAACAAAAACATACAAGTGAGAAGATAAGACACAAGTTGTTTCACTCATTCACCCTCCTGTGCCAAGTAACTTGCCAGAGCCTTCAGGCCAACAGGACGCACTATAACTCCACTGACAGCATCATCCTCGCTCATAGCATTGCCCACCAAGCCACCTGTAGCCCCAGCATCCCCATCATCCCCATCATCCCCATCATCCTCCCCATCATCCCCATCATCCCCATCATCCCCATCATCCTCCCCATCATCCCCATCATCCCCATCATCCCCATCATCATCCCCAGCATCCCCATCATCACCATCATCACCACAACTTGCCGCACCCCCGCGCCACACCTGTCCTGCCAGCATGCAGTTGAGGCGCTGCGTGGGGTGGAAGGCGTCCCAGAACACGTGCTGGCCGGGCCGCCTGCACACCGTGTATGTGGTGGCGTTGCCCCCCACCAGCGCTGTGCGCCCGCACTGCACCAGCCCGTTCAGAGGCGGAGGGCCGCCACAGCATGCCGCGGGGCCGGAGGTGAAGCCTGCAGTGCGGGATAGGGGGAAGGGAGCATTGCTAAGGTTGTGGCACCGCTTGCAGCTCAGAAGAACACCGCACAGCACACCCAGGCACCAGTGCCTCGCGCTCGCACTGCACGGGGCAGCAAGCAGTTGAGAGGCGGAGGGCCGCCACAGCATGCCTTGTCAGGCAGAGCATGCAGAGATGGGAGGAGGTGGAGGGAGTGGGGAGGTGGTGAATGAAACGTGGCAGGTAGGAGGCGCAGGTGTGAGAGCATGACTCCGTGCCACCTCCCTCGCCCTCCCCACCTCTCTCCCTCCATTCCCCACACACCCGTTCCCTGCCCATCCGGCTAGCCAGTTCACCACAATATCGTCACATGGCTCTTGCAACCAAGTTCCCCCTACTGCCATTCTCATCCACGTTGAAAGCCCTCACCCCAAGCCCCACACCACAATCATCCCCCACCACCACCACAAAATCGCCTGCAACCCACCGAGCGCCTCAGGCTGCTCAACAGCCCTCGTCACCAGCTCGCCATCCTCCACCGTGATTATCACGATGCCCGCCAGCCGTGCCTGCAGCGCCTGCAGCCCCGCCGCCAGCAGTGCGTTGTGCGCGCGCGGCACGACGCTCAGCGGTGAAGCGCACATGCGCGTGCCCAGCGCTTGCATGAGGGCGGGCACACACGTGATGGGCGGGAGGAAGTAGACGAGGAAGCGGCGCGCGCCCATGTCGTAGAGGGACTGGGGGGGGCATGAGGCAGACAGCGGGAAGGGGGAATGGCTTTTGAGTCAACACAGAAGTCACCTCGGCGATCAGGGCGGAGGTCCAGGTGCGCGTACCCAACGCTTGCATGAGGGCGGGCGGGCAGATGATGGGCGGGAGGAAGTAGACGAGGAAACGGCGCGCGCCCATGCTGTAGAGGGACTGGGGTGGGAGGGGAAGGGGGGAGAGCAGGAGGGGGGAAGTGGAATAGAGGGAATGCACGGAGGTGGTGCTCAGCCAAGACGCACTCACTTGCACAGCCTCACAATCCGTCACCTCATCCTCAAGCCATGGCAATCCCCTCACCTGCACGGCATCAACAGTGCCTTGGCTGCCTGCCACAATCGTGGGCTGGGCCTCAGGGAAAAGGGGCTGTAGAGAGTCGACCATTGAGAACAACTGTCCCCTCACCTACCCACCCTAGCCCCCTCACCTGCCCGCCCTAGCCCCTCACCTGCCCCCCCTAGCCCCTCACCTGCCCGCCCTAGCCCCTCACCAGCCCGCCCTAGCCCCTCACCAGCCCGCCCTAGCCCCTCACCAGCCCGCCCAAGCCCCTCACCAGCCCGCCCCAACCCCTCACCTGCACGGCATCGACAGTTCCCTGGCTGCTCGCCACGATGGTGGGCAGCAGCGCCTGTGAGAACCGCCCCACCGCCGCCAGGCTCTCCTCCACCGACTGCGACGGGCGCCTCACCGCCTCCTCCAGCGGCTGCGCGACACGCCCCACTGCCCGGCGCAGGCGCGGGAATGCGGGTGCTCTGGACGCACTGGCCGTTGCGCTGGAGGCGCCAGTGGCGAATGGCAACGGCGGCAGGGCAGTGGTGTTTGGCAAGGGCGGCAGAGCAGTCGTGTTAGGCAATGGCGGCAGAGAGGAGGTGTTGAGGAGGCGAGGGCGCGTGGCGTTGGAGGTGGGGATGGCGGGCACAAGGGCGAGGTTGAGGCGCGAGAGCAGGTACAGGTAGTCGTTGGATCCCAGCTGCACCACGTACAGCGCTGACACCAAGGCCTGGGAGCGGGAGGGACGTGAAGGGTGGACGGTAGGAGAGGGAGCGGTGAAAGGGGGAGGGGAGAAGAGGAGGGAGCGGGGAGAGAGGAACGATGTGAAGTGGCGCAAAGCAGGCGAGCATGTGGAGGTAGTCGAGGACCCTACCTGCACCACATACAGTGCTGAGGCGAGGACCTGGGAGGGGGATAGGGAGAGGAAGAGGGAATGGGAAACGTAGGCGAGAGATGAGGGGAGAAGTGAGGCATGGTGGGATGGGAGGACGAATTAAAGCCATAAGTGCGGAGAACACAACTTGTTTGCATCCAATTTGTTTCGTCTCGTATTTCGCCACGGGCTTCAAAGGAACCTTTGGAACGATGTAAGGGCAACTGCTGGAGTGTGCGGGCATGCAGCTGCGTGCGAGAGCAGAAATCTGCTCGCAACCAAAACAGTCAAACGAACCCTAGGGCGGGTGCCAACGATTTGAGTTTTGACACACAAAAAATCGATGCCACGGCTGGTTGCACTCGGTGAAGAAACCGGAGGGGGCGAGCAGAAGTCCGCACCGCGCGAATCAAGACTCGAATATCGCAACTGACTCGCACCAGCGCATGATTCCACCAGCGCAGGATTCCACCAGCGCAGGATTCCACCAGCGCAGGCCATTCACGAATCTGTTCTTTCCTCGCTACCCTCGTCAACTACACCCCTAGATTTCGCCCCATCGCCCACCAATCAGACTCCCTCCATCAATGGTAATGCCTTTCCACGGGGTGACCTACGAGACGCGGGCTCGTGGTCAGGAATAAAGGACGACGGATTGGGGCAAAGGAAGCAAACAACGGAGAAACTCAGTGGCTGACAGGCAAAAAAAAGGGGGTGCTCGAGAGAAGAGAGAAGCATCAATGAGATCAGAAGGGGTCGTGGAATGACCAGAGAAGGAAAGCCAACAACCCTCGCACATACACTCTTGTCTGGAAGGCTCCCCTCGCCACCGCTGCTGCTGCTGCCGCCGCTGCCGGCATCTCCCGCGTACCCATCATCACCACCATTTGAAAAAGCAGCCGTGTGGTTGTTGTTGCGAGTGCCGCGCTCGCTGGTGTGTTGCTCCATCACCATTGCGTGCAGTTCCCGGAACTTCCCCATCTGGAAGGACAGCGGGAATGTCTGGCCGCCAGTGGCGCAATGGTGGGTGGGGGGCGGGAAGCGTGCAGCGGGACGAGAGCAGGAGGGCGGACACGCAAGCAGCACAGGAGAGAAGGGGTGGAAAGTGCTGGGGTGTGAGGCGAGCAGTGAGGGGGGCAGAGCGCGGGGGAAAGGGGTTGACTGGGAGGCACCGGATGAGCGCGCGGAGGAGGACTGCCCCATCTGCTTGCCACCACTCATGCCGCGGCATGACTCTCTTCATCTGCGTCCTTGGTTTCGTGTACCCACCACCACGCCACTCGTTCCATCAAGCAGCACCCCACTCAGCAGATAAAATTCACCCACACCTGCCCGTGCCCCACCTGCCTGCGCCCCACCTGCCCGTGCCCCACCTGCCCCGGGTTGGTGCCATCGAGCACGCCCGCCCCAGCACTGCCGAAGTTGAGTCCGAGAGAGGCATTGCGCCCCGGCTGCAGCGCAGGGGGCGGGGAAGGCAGACCCAAGTAGCGCGCTGGGGGTGAGCGGGGAGAGGGGGTGAGATGGGAGGGGACGGGGCGTTTTCATCCGCATCGAAGCCAGCAGCAGCCTTTCGACCCAGCAGCAGCACAGGCGGCGGGGAGGGCAGACCCGGGTAGCACGGTGGGAGGCGTGGGAAGTGGGGGAAGAGAGGCGGGAGAGAGTTCAGATTCCACTCATCCCAGAATGCAGCACGGGCTGAGGGACAAGCCGACCCACGTTGCAAGCGAGAGATGTGGGGGGGCGGATGAGAGAGAAGGGAGAGGTAAGCGGAAGGGCGGGCGGGCATGAAAGCAAGAGGGAGGAGGGATGCGAGATGGATGGGGAGGAGAGCGGGGAGGGCATGTAGGAGCATGAAGCATGGGACAAGGAGGAGGCCCCAGATTCAGGGCCGGGCAGAGAGATACTTTTTGTGAGGTGGAGGGAAGGGGAACAGGCTGGGCTTGTGGCGCACGAGGGGCATGCATCAGAACGGAGGGCGGGGGGGATGGCCGCACACCGGTCAGCTGACACCAACGGCCCAGCCCAGGTATGAAGCCCAGTATATCGTTTGAGTTCTCACATCTCAACGCCAGCAGTACCCCCAAGCCACACCGCCGCCGTCACGCACCTAGGTAGTCGATCTGCAGGCGGCCATCGCAGAAGCGTCCCGACGCCTCAATGTAGTTCGTCCCGTAGGGCGGCATGTCTGCGCGCAGGAAGCGGTTGGAGCCGAAGTTGTTGTTGCCCACGTCCACCAGCGAGTCCCCGAACACAAACAGCGCCGCCATGCGCGCGCGCGCGAGGTTCAGGGCGCTGAGGACGGCTGAAGGGTGTGAGGAAGTGCATTGGCGAGCGGGAAGGGGACAACGAAGCAAAGAGGGAGGTATGAGTGCAGTGCCTCGTGGCTGTTCATCCCCTGGTGCCCACCAGTCGCCCACCACAAAGAGGGTGGCGATGGGCGCGCGGGCGAGACTCAAGGGGGTGCATAGAGCTCCTGGGTGTGGGGAGAGAGGGAGGAGAGGGTGAGAGAGGGAGGAGAGGGTGAGAGGGGGAGGAGAGGGTGAGAGAGGGAGGAGAGGGTGAGAGAGGGAGGAGAGGGTGAGAGGGGGAGGAGAGGGTGAGAGGGGGAGGAGAGGGTGAGAGGGGGAGGAGAGGGTGACGAGAGGGGGGGGAGAGGGGGGGAGATGAGCAACGCTCTCAATGGGTTGACGAGCGAGTCGCCCAGCACAAACTAGGGTGCACTGGGTGAACGAGCGCGGCTGACGGCGCTGAGGAGGGTTGGTGGGCTGTGAAGGGCGGCTGGGAGCGAGGGAGGAGGGGATGGGGAGGAGATAAGGGGAGTGCTGGGGAAGAGAGGGAGGAAAGAGGGAGAGGAGGGAGGCGAGAAAGGAGAAGGCAACAGCAAACTAATCTCTTCTTTGAACTCGTGCAGGATCCACACCCATGTCCCCGAGAAGTGATACAGAAGCCCTTCACTCTGCCGGCCCACGCTCTCCCTCGCAGAGGAATCGGGTGGCAGAGAGCCCTGTGCTCCTGGACCTCCCCATTCCCGCTGCCCGCGCCCGCCACCCTGCTTGGGGCGACAGCATCTCCTGCTCTCCCGCCCGCGTGCACCTCTCATGCTCCCCGCCACTCTGCCTGCCTACCTTGCGACTCCCCTGCGGACTCGATGGCACCACGACTGCCGCTAGCCGACACCGCCACGGCGCCTGCTACCGCCACCATGACCAGCGGGGCGAGCAGCGCTACGAGCCGTGGCAGCGGCAGCACCGCTCTCCGCAGCCGAAGCAGCTGCCCGCGACGAAGCGAGCGCAGGGCGGTCGGTGCAGCTGGAGGTGCGGCGGGAGATGCGGGAGCGCTGCAGTGATGAGGCACGGGGCTGGAGGAAGCTGCGGGTGGGCGGACGAGAGCACTCGAGGGCGGGCGGATGGAGTCACTTGCGAACGACGCCATGGCTGTTGGCTGCTCGCTCCTGGCCGAGATCACATCTGAACCTGCTTCTCTCGCGGCGCAGCCAATCCCAGGCCGACTGCGCGCGGGCAGCGGGGTGCTCTCTACGACCGCCTCAGCCGCTGCGCTCTCTCGCGCCGCTCCTCATCAAGAGGGCCGCACCGTGTCACCCCCTCCCCTGCCCCCCCCTCCCCCGGGACCCGTGGCTCTTCAAGACCACCTCCACGGGCCGCTCCGGTGCGCGCAGGCAGAGGTGCGTGCAGGCAGAGGTGCGCGCAGGCAGAGGTACAAGCGGGGGCTGGTAGGATGCGAGGGGATTGTTGGAAGCACCGCCCCTCGTCCACGCGCGGACAGAAGCCGCAGTGCAACACAACGGGGGTACCCACGGTTTCCCCCAGAGCTATGGTTACGAGGAATGTCAGGGGCGCCTGCGGCCACGTGGCGGTCACTCGCAGCCCCGCGAGGTGACGCGGCAACAGACGGGCTCGGCCCCATCACTAGGTGGCGAGCCAGCGGATTGGCTACAAAACGTCACTGGTGGTAATCGATGGGTGGGTGTGGGGTGTCGAACGTGTGGCCGTCGCGGCGTCAGGCGATGGGGCCGAGAAAGGTCGACCGAATCGGCTCGACTAGCAGCCGAGTGGGCTGAGCGAGAGCTGTCAATCGGGACATTCGACGGGGCAGGGTATCAGTCAGCGCGGGAGAGGTCAATTGGTGATGGTGTGGAGTGCACATACGCCCTGTTAAGGGCCCCGTTATAACACCAACGAGAGTTGGATGGAAAATGTAAGAAACAATACAACCCCTTCTGAAGGATGGGTTGAGAAACTACCTACAATGTTTTTTGGAGTGGCTTGCTAACAATTTCGAGGGCTTATTGGCTGGCTGACCAGGCGGGAGCAGTTGAAGGCACAGAATAATATGCTTTATTCTAAAACACAGCATGCTAAGAATCGGATCCAACCCAAACTCTAGCTTGAGGCTGAAGCAAGCTACCTACCATCTTCCACAACAAGGCAGAGGAAAAAGGGAAAGCCAGAGCAGTGACTGAAATCAGTACTGAAAGCAAGAGTGAGCGGGCGGGGAGCAGACGATCCTCATTGCCCGTGCCACCAGCTCCTCCCTGCTCAAACACACCATCCCATCTCAATCCTCCTCTCCTTGCATTACCATCCTCATCCAATCCTACTGCCCTCCTGCCACCCCAACAGCCAAATCGCAACAGATCTCGTCCCCAGCATCGCTCTTGCAGCACTGAGCCGCTGCGCCATTGGTGGGCGGCAGGCAGCACTGCTTGCCGCAGCAGAAGGTGCCCAGGTCCCTCCCCAGCAGGTCCACGCTGGGGCAGCACTCCGTCACGCCTGTGCTGGCATCCGCTGCGGTGCCGCAGCAACGCGGCTTGGTGAGGGGGTTGCAGCACGTGGAGCCGCAGCAGTGGTTGCGGTCCTTGGGGCAGCACTGGTCGCCGCAGCACTTGTAGTCGGGCGGGCAGCACTTGCTCCCGCAGCACTCCTGCCCTGCCTTGCAGCACTCGTGCCCGCAGCACGTCATGTTGGTGGGCAGCCCCGTGCTGGGGAACACCTGCGGGCAGCACGCGCCGCCCAGGGCCGTGCCTTGGATGCTGCAGCAGAGCGCCTTGGACGCCACGTCGCAACACGTCTGCCCGCAGCAGGTGCCCTGCGCCTTGGGGCAGCACTTGCCATTGCCGCAGCACACCTCGTTCTCCTTGCAGCACGTTTTCTCCCCGCAGCAGCTCTCCCCGGGCCGGCAGCACGTCTTCCCCCCACAGCACTTGGCCCCGCCCGTGCAGCACGCGGCACCGCAGCACTCGCTGCCGGTCTCCTTGCCGAAGATGTCCAGCGCGGGGCAGCAGTCGATCACGGGAGGCGTCGTCCCGGTGCTGGTGGTGAGATCGGCGCCGCAGCACAGCGGCTTGAGCTTCGTCTCGCAGCACTTGTTGGGGCCACAGCACGAGAAGCCGGGCTTGCAGCAGGTCTTGCCGCAGCAGTCGCCGTCCACGGGGCAGCACTTGCCAGCGCCGCAGCACTGCGTGCCCTTGGGGCAGCAGGTGCCGTCGTCGCAGCAGGCGTCGCCCTGCTTGCAGCACTGGGTCTTCGCCACGTCCTCCTTGGGCTTCCGCGCCAGCAGCCCCATGGACCGGCTGCCCAGCATCGCAGCCGCAAACGCCTTGGCCGTGGCACTGGCGTCCAGCACCTTGGGCTTGCAGCAGAAGGTCTCCGCGGGGCAGCACTTGCCATCCCCGCAGCAGACAGTGCCCTTCTTGCAGCACGTCTTGCCGTCGTCGCAGCACTGGGTGCCCTGGGGGCAGCATGTCTCCATAGGCGTGCCGTCGCTGTTAACGCAGCACGTGTCGCTCTTTGAGCAGCACTTGCGCCCGCAGCACTGGTTGCCCGCCTCTGCGCCCGTGTCGGTGGCAGAGGGGCAGCAGTCGCCCGGCAGCAGCACCGTCTCGCCGGTCGTGTCGTTGACGCCCTTGATGGCGCACAGCAGCGGCTTCAGCTTGACGTCGCAGCACGTGTTGTTCCAGCACGCGCCCAGCTGCTCGGGGCAGCACTTGCCGTCGCCGCAGCACTTGAACCCGGGCTTGCAGCACGTGGTCCCGCAGCACTGCGTGCCGTCGGGGCAGCACTGGTCCAGCGGGTTGCCGTCGGCGTCCGTGCAGCACCGGAAGCCCTTCCCGCAGCACCGCTTACCGCAGCACTGGTTACCCGTCTCCCCGCCGTTCGCGTCCAGCGCCGCGCAGCACTCCCCGGGCTTGCGGTCCGCGCCCCAGCAGCACGTGGCTTTCAGCTTCGGGTCGCAGCAGGCCTTGCCGCAGCACGCGGACTGCATGCCCGTGCTCGTCTGCGTGACGGGGCAGCACTTGCCGTCGCCGCAGCACTCGGTGCCCTGCGGGCAGCACTCCTTGCCGCAGCACTGCGTGCCCTCCTTGCAGCACTTGCCGTTGCCGCAGCACAGCGTGCCCTTCTCGCAGCACGTCTTGCCGTCGTCGCAGCACGACGCGCCCTCGGGGCAGCACCGGTTCAGCGGGTTGCCGCGCGGGTCGGTGCAGCACACGGAGCCCGACTTGCAGCACGCCGTGCCGCAGCAGGTCAGCCCCGTGGACGTGCCGTCCGCGGTAACCCCCGGGCAGCACACGCCCAGCGGGCCGGGAACCTCAGACGGCGTGGGTTTGGGCTTGGCCGCAGCAGGCAGGAGCGCGTTGAGCAGCGCGGTGCCGGTGGAGGTGAGCGCCTCGCTGCAGCACTGCGACTGGAGATTGATCGGGCAGCACTGCCCGCCGCAGCATCTGAAGCCCGGCTTGCAGCACTTGCCGTTGCAGCACGGCGCGCCGGCGGGGCAGCACACGCCGTTGCAGCACTCGCCGCCCTGCTCGCAGCACTTGCCCTTGCAGCACCGCTGCCCGCGCGCGCAGCACGTCTTGCCGTCGCAGCAGCTCGTGCCGGTCGGGCAACAGTTGTTGCCGCAGCAGTCGCCGGCGCAGCACTGCCCCTTGAATTTGGTGAGCCCGCAGCACTTGTTCGCGTGGGCGCAGCATTTCCCGCCGCAGCAGCGCCCTTCCTGGTTGCGGCAGCACTCGCCGGAGATGGCGGGGTTGGTCTTGGGCGGCGAGCAGCACGTCACGCCGAACTCCTCGCCGCCTAAGCAGCATCGCCCGCCGCAGCACTTGGGCCCATTCTGAAACAGAGAAAGGAAGTGGGGAAAAAAGGGACTAAATGATTTCAGCGGGAAAGCACAATTCCGACCGAACGACATTGAAATGCCTAAGTGTAAGGTGTGGTAACGTGCGGTACTCAGTAAAGGGGACATCGATGTACAGCAGGCGAGGGTTCGACCCCCGGCTGGCACGAACTTCGTATCGGTGAGGATGTAGCAACCATTTTCCGAAGACAGTGAACGACAGTATACCTCCAGACGATGATGGTTATGCGGAGAACTTTGCTTAAAGCTTTAATCGTCAGAAAGAACTTAGTACCTGGCAACAGCTGCCGTTGCAATAGATGGACTGGTCGACGCACTGCATGACATTCGCGACAGCGTTAGTCGTAGCGATGGCCGGACACAACCCATTAGGGTCCTGACACGCCTGAAGCTTTCGCGAATCCACGCGCGACGCGGGCGCGACGCCAGCGGAGCAGAGAAGGACAGCGCAGCATAGAGCGAGAGAAAGAATGGATTTGGTTTCCATCGCCATGGTAGTGCGCGCTCGAACTTTGACTGGGAAGAAGCTTGGCTGAAGCTTGAAGTTCAGCAGTGTATGCGTGACTTCTGTGCCTAAAGACTGGATTTACAAGATCCGCCTGAGAGATGAGGCGTGGGGTCGGCATTTTGTAAGAATTTCGTCGAGTGAAGGGGGCAGGGATGAGGGGGGGACCGGGCAGGCCGTAACGGACTGCCCGTGCAAGGAGATTGCCGCGCCTGCAAACAACCTTCACCTTGGCGGGAACTCCCTTACCTTTCCTAGCCTTGATCCGAGCCTCCTCCACGACCAAGTCTGGAAGGGAGGTGAGGGGACGCTTTTTGCCTCCCGAACCAAAGCGGTACGTTGTAATGGCAGCTGACCCTCCTCACTGAAATATGAATATTTCCTTAAGGTTGCCCTTCAAGTTTCCAGGAACGTAACAGCTTGAGGTATTGACATCATGTACAAGCTACAAGGAGAAAGTACACCTGTTCTGAAGAATAACGACCAAATTTATTCCGACTCGGTTCCTACACTTCTAAGCGCGGTAAACGTTTCGACCTACGTACCAATTTCGTCTGGGAGCCAAGAACTAAAAACAATCAGAGACTGCGAGTCTGACACGTGGAACATCGCAGCAGCTTCGGAAAAGCGAAAGCTGCAGGGGCGGTTTCTGGAAGCGAAGTGTGAGGAACCATTCGTTTACGGCACATGAGTACGAGAATATGGGAAGGCTGTTTTTTGCCAAGAAAACTAGTGTAGAAAGTCAAAAGTGATGCTGGGGAACAAGAGCGACCAAGAACGTGAATCGATTTACTAAACATTGAACGGTAAGACAGTTTTTAACCGATGCCAGTCGATTGGGTGCCCAAAAACGGCTGTTTCCTGGGGCGAAGGTAACGCAAAGACCAGAAGAAAAAAACAATGGGATTTCCGCTTGACTTGACACATTGAAGAGCAATGCAAGTCGCGTTTAAAAACACCGCTGGGAGGTTGGCAGGTGGCCACACGCACGAGAAAACTCCGCCGACAGAGTTAGAGTACAGTGTCGTGCGAACGTTCGGTTTGGTCGGAAGCTAACACAATCAAACGGCTCCCAAGAACCTATTTACGAAAAATGGAAAAGTCTCCACTTAGACTTCATGTATCCCCATTATTGATAGCTTGCTCTGGACAATGCAGATCACGGACAGCGTCCACTGTGAAAACACCCGAAGCTGGGCAGGTTTGATAAATCTGTCCCCGCCGACATGAAAACCACTGATTGTTGTGATGCACAAGTGGCGAAACTGGGGATGAAGCCGCCAAAAGGAAAATATCCGCCACACTGTGGGTGAATGCTGTAGCATGTGAAAGCAGTGTTTGTTGTCCGTGTGATTGCCCTGGAACGGCAGCATCTGACATGACATGGCGAGTTAGAACTCGTTTGAAACAGATGTCATAGGTTAATCTGATCATTATCGTACTGAGGACTAGTTCTGTAAAGATGTTGGATAACCAAAGACTAAGTCATGTGTTGGAAAAGGGTCCACTTTATCTTGTTTCATGGATTTTGTGGGCAAGTCTGTGGATAGTAAAAAGTCAGGGTCCTGCTGTCAAGCATGTGTATTTGTCATGTTTGTATAGACTGTATAGGGTCGCCTCTTAGAGAGTACAACACTTAGGTATATCTTTGTGTACTCTCACTCTATCCATTATTCAAATTTCAATTCTGATATGGTATCACGCGTAGGTAGGATCCCCCCCCCACCTATCGCTTCCGCTCACCCCGCTAGCCCCTAGCCCAGTCGCGACCCCCCCTAGCCCCGTCGCGCCCCTCACTGGGCCCTGTCGCGCCCCTCCCAGGCCCCCTGGCGCCCCTCCTGGGCTTCGTAGCGCCCCTCCTGGGCCCCGTAGCGCCCCTCCCAGGCCCCGTAGCGCCCCTCCCAGGCCCCGTCGCGCCCCTCCCAGGCCCCCTAGCGCCCCTCCTAGGCCCCGTCGCGCTCCTCCCCGGCCCCGTAGCGCCCCTCCTGGGCCCCGTAGCGCCCCTCCTGGGCCTCGTCGCGCTCCTCCCAGGCCCCGTCGCGCCCCTCCCAGGCTCCGTAGCGCCCCTACTAGGTCCCGTCGCGCCCCTCCTGGGCCCCGTAGCGCCCCTCCTGGGCCCCGTCGCGCCCTCCCTGGGCCCTGTACCGCCCCTTCTGGGCCCCGTCGCGCCCCTCCCAGGCCCCGTCGCGCCCCTCCTAGGCCCCTTAGCGCCCCTCCTGGGCCTCGTCGCGCCCCTCCTGGGCTTCGGAGCGCCCCTCCTGGGCCCCGTTGCGCCCCTCCTGGGCCCCTGTAGCGCCTCTCCTGGGCCCCCCGTCGTGCCCTTCCTGGGCCCCGTGGCGCCCCTCCTGGGCCGCGTCGTACCCACCCCCAAGTCCCGTCGCCCCTGCCCGACCCCGTCGCAACCGCCCGGCCCCGTCGCGCCCGCCCGGCGCCGTCGCACCCGCCCGGCCCCGTCGCGCCCGCCCGGCCCCGTCGCAGCCGCCTGGCCCCGTCGCACCCTGCCCGGCCCCGTCGCAGCCGCCCGGCCCCGTCGCACCCACCCGGCCCTGTCGCACCCTGCCCGGCCCCGTCGCACCCGCCCGGCCCCGTCGCACCCGCCCGGCCGCCGTCCCGCTCGCCCTGCCCCGTCGCACCGGCCCGGCCCTGCCGCACCCGCCCGGCCCCGTCGCCCCAGCCCGACCCCGTCGCGCCTGCTCGGCCCCGTCGCCCCGTCCCGGCCCTGTCGCACCAGCCCGGCCCCGTCGCGCCCGTCTGGCCCCGTCGGGCCAGCTCCGGCCCCGTCCTCCTCACTGGTACGGTTCCCCCCCACCCCGCCCTGCTCCGTGCCGCCTCGCATCACAATGTACTGCCTGGCACCGCACTATACCGCACTGCACCGCACTGTACCGCATTGCACCGCACTGCACCGCACTGCACCGTACTGCACCGTACTGTACCGCACTGTACCGCACTGCACCGCACCCCACCTAGCTGCACTGCCCTGCACCGCACTGGACTGTTCCTGATGGCGGCGGAGCTTCGCTTCGACGCTGAAGGTCAGCCCCTAGAGTTCGAGGCGTGGCTTGCCGACCTCCGCCGCCAACTCACTGGCCAGCGGCAGGATGGTGAACCGCTTTCCGCACACCTTGACGGTACGCTCCCCTGCCCAGACCCCCCTGCTATTCTGCCCGCTGACCCCACACCCACTGAGCGTGAGTCTACTGCTGCCACTGCCCGTGCGCGCTCTGTCTGGCTTTCTCGCGATGCTGTTGCCCAGCTTGCCATTAGCAACGCCCTTCCCCCGTCCGAGCGCCCTCGCTTTAGGTCCCTCACTACTGCTCAGGCATACTTAGATGCTGTGATCAAGCACTATTCCACCCCTCCGGCTGCCTCGGTGGGTCGCCTGATCCTCCCGATGCTCTTTCCTGACCTTGCATCTTTCCCCACTGTCTCTGACCTCGCTACCCAACTGCGCTCGATAGAGGAGACCTGGCGCGCCGCCTGCACTGACGCACATCTTAGAGCCCACCAGCCGCTCATTACCTCTACCCTCTACCTGCTTGCCACCCGCCTCCCTGACCGCCTTGCTGTCGCCCGCGACCATTTCCTTAGCATTCACCCCGCCGATCTCACCCTCACTGACTTTGTAGACACCCTGACTGTGATAGAGACCCGTCACCGCTCCATCGCCCAGGCGAGCGGTGTCGTGCCGGTCCCTATCTTTCAGGGTTGTGCCCCCGCCCAGTGTACCTTCTCCGACGGCTCTGTTGCAGTGGCTGAGACCGCTGCTGCAGCGCAGTCTCGTTCGGGGAAGGGCCGCCGCCCCAATGTTGGGCGCGGCGGAAGCGGGGGTGCGGGAGGGGGTAGTGGTGGGGTCGGGTCGTCTGGTGCTGGAGTGGACGAGGGGACCCTGCCCAGTCCGGCTGAGCTGCCGCCCCTGCTGTTGCAACAGCCGCAGCAGCCGCCGCAGTCGCAGCCTTCGCCGCAGCCGCAGCAGCCGTCGCAGACGCGGCAGCCGAGTGTCCTCCCGCCCGGGTGGCCTGGCGCTGGCGGTGGCCGGGCGCGTGGTGGTGTGCCGAGTGGTAGCTCTGGTGGCGGGCGCTGTCAGTACCAGATCCAGACCGGTCCTCGCCGCGGTTTCGTTTGCGGTAAGATCGGTCACTCCACTCCCCGCTGTTTTCGTCGCCTGGACGACCTCTTTCGTCAGCGCTTCGGCCCGTCGCCAGACCTCCCGGACTGGCACAGTTTGCTTAGTCGTAAGATTCAGATCTTTGATATGGACATGGATGCCATTGTTTCTGCTCTGCATGTGATGTATGCTGATGACTCTAGTGTGCTTCCAGCTTATTACTCACTGTTGCCTAGTGTAGGTGTGCCTAGCGTAGCCTCCCCTGCTGCGTCAGGCGTAGGATCCTCTGCTTTGTGTAGTCTTGGTGCTTCCGCCGTCGTTCCGTCGCCAGACGCCTCTGCTTCGCTTTCCTTCACCTTGGACTCTGGCGCTTCTCGGTGTTTCTTCCGCGACTCCACCACCCTGACGACGCTTCCTGTTCCTGCTGCCGTTTCTCTTGCTGACCCCTCTGGCGGTCCGGTAGTCGCCCGCAGTTCCACCACCCTTCCCTGCCCGTCGGTTCCTTCGGGCTCTCTTACAGGTCTGCATATCCCCTCGTTCTCCAGGAACCTAGTTGGTGTCGGCTGCCTCCAGGACCTTGGCGTCACCACTACGTTCCCTGGTCACGAGCGGTATGCTGTCTGTACCGAGGCCGCCACTGGTTCCCCCCTGTCCACGTTCCCCCGGGACCCGGTGTCTGGCCTGTTCACTCTGGACACCGTGACCCCCCCGGCTGGGGCGCTCCCTCAGGTGGCTGCGTCTACTCAGGTTGCTGCTGCCTGCTCCTGTCGGTCCCTCACTCACCCGACGCTCCTCTGGCACCACCGCCTAGGTCACCCTGCGCTCCGGCGTCTGCGTCACATGTCCCAGCACGGTCTTGTCCTTGGTCTCCCAGGTTCTCTCCCCGCTTTTCCCTCCTCCCCAGCCCACCCTTGCACGCCTTGTGTCGAGGGTCGGCTTCGCCGTGCCCCTCACTCCTCCTCTTTTCCCCCTACCTCTGCGCCGCTGCAGACCCTGCACCTGGACGTCTGGGGCCCCGCCCCTGTCCCTGGGCCGCGTCGAGAGCGCTACTTCCTTGTGCTCGTCGACGACTTCACTCGTTACACCACAGTCTTTCCCCTAGAGCGCAAGGCCGACGTGCCTGGCGCTCTCATCCCCTGGCTTGTCTCTGCGCGTGTCCACCGCGGTCTCCCTGTCCTGCGTCTTCACTCAGACCGTGGTGGCGAGTTTGCCTCAGGTGTCCTTGGTCGCTTCTGTCGTGCGGAGGGCATCACCCAGACGTTCACCCTACCAGACTCCCCACAGCAGAATGGGGTCGCTGAGCGACGCATCGGTTTGGTCATGGAGGTGGCTCGCACCTCCATGATCCATGCCGGTGCACCCCATTTTCTGTGGCCGTTCGCTGTGCGCTACGCTTCTCACCAGCTTAACTTGTGGCCGCACCCTCAGCAGCCGCAGGTTTCGCCGACCCGTCTTTGGACTGGGTCCCCTGGTGACGCGTCTGCGTTCCACGTCTGGGGATGCCTTGCTCACGTCCGTGCCCAAGCTCACTGCCCGCACCCTTCCCTGCGTCTTCCTCGGTTTTCCCCTTGACGCGTCCGACTGGCACTTTTACCACCCGCCGTCTCACCGCTTCTTTCACTCTCGTGACGTCACCTTTGACGAGTCCGTCTCCTACTACCGTCGCTTCCCCCACCGTGGTCCCACGGTTACCCCCCCCCTTTTCCTGGTCACTCCTTCCCCGGTAGTCCCTGCCCCTCCTCCTCCTCCTCCCCGACCAGCCCCCTCTGGTGTGTCCCACGTCACCCCCCTTCCGTCGGTGGACCCGACTGGGGAGTCTTTTGACTCTGGTGGCCCTCCTGTGCAGTCCTCGCCGGCCGCCCCTCCCCTGGTGTCTCCTCCCCAGTCCCCTCCTCCACCGCCTCTGCCGCCGCTGCAGCCGTCGTTGTCGCTGCCGCTGCCGCCGCCGTCGCAGCCCCCGTTTACTGACTCTGGGGGTGCTCGTCCCGGTCGCCCCGGGGGTGGTCCCTCTGGGGGTGCGGGTGTGGAGAGTGCTGGTGGTAGCCGAGGAGCAGCTTGCGGTCCCGGTGTTGCCGTTGTGCCGCCGCAGCAGCAGTCCTCGCCGGTGTCCGCCCTTCGCCTGCTCGGCCTTCCGTCCCCCGACCCTGCGTCGGTTCCTCCCCCACCGTCTCCTCCTCTTCGTGTCTACGGCCTGCTTTTCCTCCGCCGGACTCGTCCCCGGCTCGTCTCCCCCCTCGTTCCCCTCCTGTGTCCCCTCCCCTGTCTCCTGACCCGACTCCTCCGTCGCACGTCTGGTCTCACCGCCCCTCCCGTGCTCGTCCTGCCTCACCTGTCTTGCGCTCCCACCCTATGTTGCTTCGTTCCCACGCGTCTCGCCCTCCCCTTCTGCCGTCGCCTCCTCCGTCCTCCCTTGTTGTTGCACCCCCCCCGCTGTCTGACTACCTTCGTGCCGCTCGTCCTCTTGTTCCTCGGGTCCTTGCCTCTCTCGTTACCGACCCGTCAGTTCCGGTCCCGTGCCTTGACACTCTTGTCGCTGCTGTCGCTGACATCGCCTCTACCCGCCTCCTTGACTACGCCACCGCTCTGGTCTCTGACCCTGCCTGTCCTCCGTCTGTCGGGGGTGCTTCTGCCCTTGGCACTGACGTCCTGGAGGACCGCCAGTTCGAGCTTGCTTTCCTGTCCGAGGCTGCTCCCCATCTCTCTTCCATGCTGCTAGTCCCTGAGGGTGACCCAGACGCTTTCGACATCCCGACCCCTCGCACTTACGCTGAGGCGACCTCGGGACCTTGGGCCTCTCAGTGGATAGCTGCCATGGAGCAGGAGATGGCATCTTGGAGATCCACCGGCACCTTTGTCGACGCAGTTCCCCCACCAGGGGTGAACGTAGTCGATGGCCGTTGGCTCTTCAAGGTGAAGCGCCCTCCTGGAGAGCCGCCGGTCTTCAAGGCGCGCTATGTGGCAAGAGGCTTCAGTCAGCGCGAGGGGGTGGACTTCTTCCAGACCTTCGCTCCGACCCCGAAGATGACTACTCTTCGAGTTCTGTTACACCTAGTGGCTCAGCGTGACTACGAGCTTCACTCCCTCGACTTCTCCGCTGCCTTCCTTCAGGGCAGCCTACACGAGCAGGTCTACCTGCGTCGCCCTCCGGGCTTTACTGGCACCTTCCCTCCTGGTACCCAGTGGCTCCTGCGGCGCCCCGTCTACGGCCTGCGCCAGGCTCCTCGTGAGTGGCACGACACTCTTCGTGCTACCCTTGCTGACCTGCAGTTCTTTCCGTCTTCCGCAGACCCTTCACTCTTCGTTCGTGCTGGCCAGACTCCGTTCTACATCCTTGTTTACGTCGACGACCTGGTCTTTGCCACAGCAGACAGGGACGCACTGGCCTCCGTGAAGGCAGAGCTTCTGAAGAGACACACGTGCACTGACCTTGGAGAACTGCGCCGTTACCTTGGCTTGCAAATCTCCAGGGACAAAGCTGCGCGCACCATCACCCTGACTCAGTCACACTTGGTGCGCCAGGTCCTTCAGAGGTTCAGCCTTCAGTTCTCCTCTACACAGCCCACCCCTCTGCCTGTAGACCACAGACTCTCCGCTCCAGTGTCTGGAAGTCGGTAGAGCCCAGCGGCCCCTACGCAGAGCTGGTGGGTTGCCTCATGTACCTGATGACTTGCACTCGCCCAGATCTCGCATACCCTCTCAGCATCCTGGCTCGTTTTGTGGCCACAGGCAGACACCGACCGCAGCACTGGTCTGCCGCTAAGAGGGTTCTTCGTTATCTTGCTAGTACATCGGGCATGGGGTTAGTGCTAGGAGGACGCAGGCCAGTGGTCCTTACTGGACACGCAGACGCTTCGTGGGCAGACGACGCCGAGACACTCAGGTCTACCCAGGGCTACTGCTTCAGCCTTGGCTCAGCTGCCGTCTCGTGGAGAGCTACTCGCTCCTCGTCTGTTGCGCAGTTCAGCTGTGAGGCCGAGATCTACGCTGGTGCCATGGCGGCACAGGAGCTCCGCTGGCTGACCTTCTTGCTCACTGACTTAGGTGAGAGGCCTAGCTCTGCCCCGGTCCTGTTCGCTGACAACAGGGCCATGATCCTCCTGTGTCAGGAGCCTCGACTCGAGGGCAGAGCGAAGCACATTCAGCTGCGGTACTTCCTCCTGCGTGAGCTACAGCAGCGACGTCAGGCTCGCGTAGTACACTTGGCCTCAGGTGCCAAGACAGCTGATATCTTTACGAAGGTGCTTGCGCCTAAAGATCATCAGCGGCACTGTGTACAGCTTGGTCTAGTTCCTGTAGCCTCTCACTTGCTAGGACCTTGACTTTGTACTGTCCTTTATATGTATACTCAGACTGGACTTGTGTCCTCTCGCAGTGGCTGGACTAGTAGTGCCGCCCTGCCCTTGTTCTTGCCTTGTTTGTACTCCTTCTGACTGGTCTCTTAGACCCTTGTCTCAGAGGTTGGACTAGTAGTGCCGCCCTGAGCTGTTTGTTTAGGGCATTCCCCTATACATCTAGGGGGTGTGTCAAACATGTGTATTTGTCATGTTTGTATAGACTGTATAGGGTCGCCTCTTAGAGAGTACAACACTTAGGTATATCTTTCTGTACTCTCACTCTATCCATTATTCAATTTTCAATTCTGATACCTGCTCCTTAGAATGCTGCATTTTGGATGTTAGGCAAGCACCTTCCAGCTGTGTGCACCAACTATCCTTACAGACTTCTATGCAAAACAAAATCTAGCGTTTCCTTAACTTCAGCTTCACATGGTAGCTTTCTAACCACGGTACGTGCGTGATAGCTTTAAGAATCCTTTATGAGGTCTTGTCCTTCTTTCCCAGAGCCTTCTTCCGCTGCCCCATCATGTAAGTGTACATGTATGGACTCCCTGCCATGCAGCACACACCAACTTAATGTAAGCTGCCAATGTTCAACACCATCGTGTTCCGTCCTTTCGCTGTGTTTCCAGTCCCAGGGTGCAAGGGAACCAAGAAGAAATCCGCATGACAGCCTGCTCGGGGAAGATATGAGAACATAGCTACTGTGGAAAGGGAAGGCTTGTATGGAGTACAACGCACCGGGGATGTAGGTGAGAAGGATGAGGATGCAGACGAGGTAATAGTCAACAGCGAAGTTGACCTTGTTGGGCATGTCAAAGGAAAACACGTGGGATGCCTGGTGGGGGTCAGTGGGAGGAGGAACAGCAGCACAGACCAAGAGAAAGAAAGAAGAGAAAGTGATTCAAGGATCTAGACACAAGACAGTCGGGAAACGACACGGGACAACAGGCAATCCTAAGACGTGAAGGACTGAAAAGAGCGCGCGACAAAACTGGAGATGAGAAAGTTGCTGCACTCCTAAGTGCAAATGCAGACGCTCCTTGAGGTGGATGGAGACGCGTGGAGAAGTGCAGTGAGGGGGGAAGACAGAGACCTCGAGATAGTTAGGGCAGGGTGAGTGAGAGCGAGAAAGAGGGAGTGGAGGCTCGCGAGTGAGAGAGATATAGAGGGAGAGAGAGAGGGAGACCTTGAGATAGGGCAGGGCGAGGTAGGCGAGTCCCACTTCACTGGTGATGCCCGAGGGGTAGAGCACGTAGAACATGCTGTAGCTGCAGGGCGGACAGGGGTGGGGGGAGGGCAGAAGACATGGACGCATGGACACGGATGGGCAGCCGTGTGTGAATATCACTTGAATTGGATGGGCTTCTTAGTGAGAGGAATCGTGTAAGAAGCATGATCGCATGGAGCTGTGGCGTGGCATGGGGTGGGCATGATGCTATGGGAGGAAGGAAGAGAGGTGGGGAATACAGGGAAGGGAGGGTTTGCGGGGAAGGCAGGGCACGAGGGGAAGGCAGGGCACGCGGGGAAGCCAGGGCACGTGAGACGTGGGGAAGGCGGGGCACGTGGGGAACGCGGGGCACGCGGGGAAGGTGGGGCAGGGGGTGTGTACCGGAGCCAGAGCAGAGGCGCGGGTGTGGAGCCGAAGGCTTCCTTGACGGCGAAGAAGGAATAGCGCACGATCTGACGGTGAAGGGGGCAGGGCGGGCAGGCAGAGGGGAAGGTGGGAGAGGTGAGCACAAATCGAGGAGATAGATAAACCTGGAGTGGGGCTTGATACTCGCTCAAGGCTTTGTAGCGGTAGTATGGAACAGGGAGGGCAGAGACACATCAAGAGTTGCGTTCTCGTTCGTTCACAGACGGACTCCTGTCTCCCTCTCTCCCGTTTCCTCCCTCACTTTGGTTCCTCTCCCTCCCCCCACTCTTCCTCTCCTCCCCGTTTCCCCCTTGCGCGCTTCCCCTATTTCACCCCCCCGTCCCTTCTCTCTCGTTGCCGTCCTCCCGTCCTCTCCATTTCCTCCCCTCCCCATCCAGGCAAGTGCCGCGCACCTCTGTGATGGACCAGCTGAGCAGCAGCGACGCCACCAGCACGTGCTCGCGGACCTGCAGGGAGACAGGGCGCGGAAGAGAGGGGGCGCAAAACAGAGAGGCTGAGCGGGGGCGGACAGATTGAGGGGCCTGGCAGTGGGGGTAGCAACAGTAGGCTTCAAACGCTCAGTCGTTCGAATCCTCGATGTGGCGACAAGAATTGAACTTCTTTTGGCTGATGGAATTATAGAGGCTCCGACGAAGCAGAACGAGGGCGAGAAAGCAGCACAGCTCTATTGACGGGTGGCACGACGGCAGGGCTTTTGGAAAGATTTTTACCCTCTCCCCCCCTACTGTTTCGTTTTCTCAGCGTGGACTTCCTCTGTTGAGCAGGAGCAACCGAGGGTAGCGCACCTGAGCTACGGGTGAGCACTTGAAACGACACCTTGAGACGCGAAGAAGAGCACCAGAAACCTGAGGCGCAGGGTATCGCACCTGAGGCGCGGGGTATCGCACCTGAGGCGCAGGGTATCGCACCTGAGGCGCGGGTAGAAAGCGCCTACGACACCTGAGAACGCACCTGAGGCGCGGGGTAGAGCACACCCCAGACAAGGAAGAGCCTGGAAGCGATCTGCGGGAGCGTGGCGGACACGGGCGAGCGCACGATGCCTGCACGCACGGGCACATAGGGTGTGGAGGACACGAGGTATGGAGGACACGGGGTGTGGAGGACACGGGGTGTGGAGGACACGGCGTGTAGGGGCACGGGACATGAGAAAAGCGCGCAAGAGGCATGGGGAGCAGGGGAGGCAAGAAAGGCAGGAGATGTGGGGCACGCGTTGGGCAGCAGAAGCGAAGGTCCCTTGGGCACAAGAGCTGACGCGAGTAGCTCAGTCAGCGCACTTGCCTCTACCATTGCTCCCTCTCTTCAACAACCACCAACCACACTCTCCCACCCTTCCCTCTTCCCTCCCCCCTGATCCTCGCCGTCCTCATCCTTTCTCTTTCTCTCTTCTCTTCCTCTCAGCACTGGTAGTTTTCAACCAACCACGGTTGAGGAGATGAGGGCGGGTGAGGCGAGCGTAAAGCGGAGCGAGGGGAACTCACCGAGGATGCTGTGGATGATCTGCGCGTGGCGGGAGAAGAGGAAGGTGCGTTGCACGGGAGGCATGCGAGCAGGGGTAGGGAGCACAGGGGATTGCAATGCAGAGAGATGATCACACGAGGTGCTCATACGGCAGTAGCAGAGCTGTTTAGAGACAATGTCATGCATTACTAGGACGTGAGTAGCGGGGCGAGTAACCGGGCGAATAACGTCCCCTCAGTTCAGCTGATCTTCAGCCGCGAATGGCTGCGACGATCATCGGGAGGCGTTGGTTACAATAGCAGGCAACTGCACATACGCAGATGTACCTTCGTGATTTCACCGACCACAGTGCACCGATCACATTGCTATGTAAGGTTGCATAAGCCGCATTGCCCCTGTGGTACCGAACACTCGTTATAAGCCTCGGGCTCACCTCCATGAGCGCAGCGGTCTGCGCGATCTGAAGCGGCAGCTCCGCCGTGGCGTACACGGTGGACGGGCCGCCCGTCGCCAGCGCCTGCACCGTCAGGATCAACACGTACAGCCTGCCGTGCGACGCCGTGCGATGCGATGCGAAGCGCCGCGATCCATGTCATGTACGAACACATACGCGTGCCAAGGTGGGGGTTTGAGAAGCTAAGAGATCATAGAGAGCAGTGAGCAGGTTACAATATTGCTTCCGACATTTTCGAGGGACATGATTGCTTGGCTAGCGAGGGAAGTGAGGCTAGCATTTGGCGAATCAAGGCGAATGGCGTGGAGGGAAGGGGCAACACGAACCATGCGACGGCCAGGCACGCGTTGTACGGAACGAAGTAGAGTGCTTTTAGCGACGCCATCTCGGTCGTAATCCTCGGACACGATAGCGCGAGCTCCGATGCGTCACAGTAAAGATGTCAGACTAGAAATGCACAGATCAGATAATCAAAGTAGACCCTAGCGTGATCGTCCGACAACCTCGAGAGAAGAATGGCTGCTCAGGCTGAATGCAGGAGGGAGGATGTTGAAACTGCGTCACAGGGACCAGGGAGCAGGCAGCTCAGTTGATCACAGGAAGGCAGGTCGGCCCCAGGAGTGGCTGGGAGGGTCGAACAGAAAATGGCGGGATCTGGATCTATCACTGCCACGTACAGCGCGCATCGTCAGAGAACCGTGAATGTTAAGGGTTCCGCCAATTGCATCTTCGACTAGCTCACAGTAGTTGCATGGAATTGTACATGTAACTTCAGGGTTATTAGATTGAGTCAAGGTGACCCCGTTATTGTCAAGCACTACTAGACTGGATCATGCTTCATTCTGAGCTACTAGAATGGCTCTTGGTAACCTAAAGATGTTAGAATACTAGAATGAATAGAATCAAGAGAGAACAAGTTAGATATAGTATTGGAGGTTGTACCTGAAATAAATCGACTGATGTTGTAGTAGACTAAGTATAAAACTATAAACACGAACACTTGGCAAATCCTCAAGTGTTGGTCCAGGATCTTTGCTGGAATGGTAGACTAGTAAGACAGCGGAAGTCTTGTAAAATGTAAAGGTCAAGGTTGAATAACCTGAGTACGTGAACTTGTGTGTAATCAGAAGTTAATAATGAAAAGACCTAACAAGTATTTATAGTTCTACGAAAAGTACCTATTCGCTAATGTACCTGTTCGTCACTATCGCGCTATGCTGTTGAGTGACCCGCTGGGATTGCCCTTGAGATCCTCGGGGAAGGGCCATAGGTGCAGAGCCTGGGGGGCTATGGGCGCACTTACCCGCTATTCAACAAGCCCTTTTAACCCAGTGGTTAGTGACTGGGTTTCTGAAATATGCGCCCTAGATGATAATGAAGGGGTGCGACTGTTTGCGTGACTGAAACGACTATCCTATGACGAGCGCTATTTGCTGATGTCATCCTGCGGACTTATCTTCTACTTGATGATTCGACACTAACTACACTTAATCGACTTACAGAAATGCTAAGTATCAATTATATCACAACACTCTCCTTTATTTCTGGAAGTTCGATAGTGTCACTTCTTGAAGATTCCGCAGAGCTTATTACAATACTGAAACTTCTGTCGCGTCAGTTTCTTCGTGAGAAAATCGGCAGCCATTTCGTTGGTCGAACAGTAGACCAATCGCAACCTCCCCTTCTCGACTTCATCTTTGACGAAAAAATAACGAAGCGAAATATGCTTCGTCCTGTTGACGAAACCAGGTTGATGTGAGATGCGAATTGCACTTTGATTGTCGCACTGTAGGGTAAACTGGGTAGTTGTCGTCAACTTCGCTTCTTCCAATAGTTCCTGTAAGTAAAGTCCTTCACGTGTTGCTGTGCAGACAGCAATAAACTCAGCTTCAGCAGAGGAGAGGGCAATCAACTCCTGCTTCGTCGAATTCCAAGAGATAGGTCCGATAGGTTCAAGCCGATAGATGAATCCAGTGCGTGACCGTCGATTAGTAGAATCAGCAGCGTGATCGGCGTCGACAAAACCATGTAGGTAGAGTGTTTTACAACCGATGACGTTGTAAACTAGACCGACGTCAGGTGTCGAGATAAAATACTGAAGCGCGCGGAGAAGATCAAGCTGATGCTCCTCCTCAGGACGGCGTAGGAACTGAGCGAGCTGACTAGCCGCGTAGCACAGATCAGGACGACAGGTGACAGCGGCGAAGAGTAGACAGCCTAAGTGCTGTTGATAGATCTGTAAATCGGTTGAACTTAACAGTGCGGTGTTCGGTTTGTGGTCAGTCGGTAGTGAGCGGTACGGTGTAGAGACTGCAGTAGGTGTGAGGTTGAAGCGGGCAGCGAGTGTTGCTGCATACTTAGAAGCAGTGAGATGAATAGTTGTCGGTGAAGAGGTAATGTTCCGACCGAGAAACTGTGAGACTGTTTCGGAGATAGTAAGCTGTAGATTTTTCTGTAATTTCAGTATGAAGGTCTCGGCAAGAGAATCGGTAGTACTGACGAATAGGATGTCATCGACGTAGGCGACGAGTAGAATATAGTTGTTGCCTTCAGTCAGTAGATACATTCCCTGGTCATGCGGTAGTTGACGAAAACCGGCAGCGATCAGTTGTGAGTGGAGATACTGCTGCAAGAGCCGTGGTGCCTGTTTAATGCCGTATAGGGATTTTCGGAGACGGCAAACGCTCGGTGGGTTAGTAGTGTAGGAATGCGGGTACTCTACCAGGATAAGAGCATCGACAGGCGCGTAGAGAAAAGCATTCGACATGTCGATTTGTCGAAGTCGGAGATTGCGGCAGGCGGCGACACAGAGTAGAATCCGAACGCTTGTATGTCGGCCGACAGGAGCAAAAGTTAATTCGTAGTCGATGCCGTAAGTCTGTTCAAACCCGCGGACGACCCATCGCGCCTTGAATTTCTCAAACGACCCATCTGCATTAGTCTTAACGCGGAAGACCCATTTTCCGGTAAGTACCTTCTTTCCTTTTACTTCTGAAGTCGGTATTAAATCCCATGTGCCGCGATTCTTGATTGCTGCTAGCTCCTTGTCCATGGCTTCGTGCCATTTTTCTCGGTGAGGACTCGTAAGAGCTTGTCGAACAGTTTTCGGCTCAGGTATTTTACTGTCGTTGTACTGTACTGCGACTGCGAATTCCAGTATCTGTAATCCTGTTTCTGTAAAGCGCGGACGTTCTTCGTTTGCACCTGCGAAATTTTCTTCTGGTCCTTCTTCCCCCCCAGTTTCGTCAGGTGTAACACGAACTGCTTCGTCGGAGACGACGGGCATCGGTTGCTGTTGGCGATCGCGTTCGTAACTGAGATGAACTTCGCGAACATCATCCTGGTCAGCATCGGCAAGAGGAATGAATTCAGGTATGCCGGTCGAGGTGACAGGTTCGGGAATGTCTGTTGCGGAAGCTTCGGAAGCTTCAGAAACATCCTCGTCCTGAACATCAGCTTCGGCTTCGTCAGTTGCAAATGCACGCGAGCCTTCGAACAGCCTGGCAGGATTGGCGGCTGCTGCCTGGTGGGCACGAAAAATGGGCAAGGTGAGTCTTTCATAGAAAAGACAATCACGTGATGGAATGATTTGATGGGAGCGAAGATCCAAAATCTTCCACGCGTGATACTGTTTTTCGATACCGAGATGTACCCCCCATTTTGCTGGTTCGGAAAAATTTCCGAGTGCTGCGGTTGGAGGACGAAACTGTACAACACACCCGAAAACTCGTAAAAGTTTTGTGCTTCCCACTGTACGTGTCCACTGCAGGTGTGGAGAAGAAAACTCGAGTAGGGACGTTGAAGAAAGAAGATTGTGTAACAGCACGGCGTGGTCCATCGCATACGGCCAAAAATGCGGTGGAAGAGCTGCTTGTGTCAGCAGAACACGCATCTTCTCTTGCAGAGTTCTGTTCATCCTTTCTGCTACCCCCATCTGTTGGTGTGCATGTGGCAGCGACTGCTTCCGTTTGATGCCGAGTGTCTGTAGGTACTCTGTGAAGGTGTTGCTGGTGTACTCCCCTGCACCATCACTCTGAAATTCTTGCAGTTTTATGCCTGACTCTCGTTCAGCGACAGCAAGCCACGTGACGAAGACGGAGTAAGCGAGATGCCGCGCAGGTAAGTTTGCGGTCCAGACATAGAGTGTAGACGCTTCGATGAAAGTTATCACATACTTCTCGTCTTTAGGTCCTGCTTCAGACAAGTTAAGTATGTCGCTGTAGACTTTCTGCATCAGTTTATAACGTGTTGAGCCAGGAAAGTGACTGGGAAACGGATCGTGCGTAAGGTTGGCAACGGGACAAGTGGTGCAAACCATCGGAAGAGACTGCGGCTTCATCTCCGTGCCATCAGGTAAAAGTAAACTGGTTTTATCAAGAACTGCTGCTCGGATTGAATGATTAAGAATCCCTTGTGAAGGATGTCCTAACCGCTGATGCCAAATATCTTCTGTGGCTTTGTGTCCTGATGATATGAAGTGAGTATCCCGTGTCGATAGATTGGAGCATCACACTTCCAACTGCTCGTGCCATAATGGTTTGTCCGTTTGCGACTGTTACAGGTATCGGACGACGAAGCGGACGCTGATTGGTAATGAAGCTTGTTTCTGTTGAGCACATGTGCCATTCGCAACAAGTGTCAAGATACCAGGTATTTGGACCTGAAATTATCCGAGCGAGGTTAGCATAAACTTGAGGTAAAGGAATGCCTTCAGCACTTGTGGTTTCTTCAAGACGTGTCTCGAAATCTGTTTCTGAAATATCAACCGTTGTAACACAACCAAAAACCTCTTTTCCTGATGTGGCAGATGCGAAGACCGGCGGACGATGCTGCGGCGTTGGTGAAGTCTGTGGCGGTTTCGGCATCTGCTGCTGCTGAGACGGTAACTGCTGGTGTGGCTGTTGTGTTTTCGGTAACTGCTGCGACCGGTGATACGGCTGCGAAGTGCTGCGACGAGCTTGATGACGGCTGCGACAGTTTTGGTAAGTATGTCTCGGTTTCTTACACAAGTGACAGAATGGATACTTTGGTGGATGTCGATGCTGGTGTTCTGGATTGGAGTAAAAACTTAAATGAAGTCCCTTTTTCTGATTTTTTTGTGACTGCAGGTCAAGATCTTGCTGCTCTGCTTGAAGATAAGAAGAAATTTCGGCTTCGGAGCGATTGGGATTCATGCGCAAGAAGGCGCGCGTCTGTCGCGATTCGGGTCCAAGACCAGCCAGAAGTACCGTGAGATACATCTCACGAGGGAAGTATCCTCCGCTCTTTTCCAGTTGATCTTGTAGTGTACGGACTCGGTTAACGTAGTCCATGACATTTTCGTTTGTCATCATCTGCACACTTGTCAGCTGCGAAAGTATTTTACTCACTGTTATCGTATCCTTTGCCATGTATACCTCTTTCAGATGGTTCCATGCAGTTTTGGCTGGTGTGAAACTTGAGTGAAATGATCGAACGCCGAGCTGCTCCTTCGGCGACAGGTTCCGTACAAGAACTGTATACGCCCCGAGAGAGGCATGCAAGAAACTCTGCTGCTCCAGTTGTGTTCCC